AATCCAGGTCTATGTTCTTCATAGGACAAACCAGAGGGGTAAAGTTTCTCCACCTTTCCATGGGAATTCCTTAGTCCTTGAGCTGCTCTTTTACCACTGTTGCTTCTCATGAAAACCTTTGGAAGATCTGCTTTTGTTTTCCTATGGACAGAAGCCTTTTGGAAGTCTAGAAGGTTTACAGGACAAGATATTGTGTCCTGTCCAGCTTGTTAAGAATTTTGCTTCTTGGTTTTGAATGTCCTTGGCAGTTTGGTTCCAAACACACAGTTTCCCCCTGCAGAGTTTTCTGGGAGCACAGTTCTTTCATGGATGCTTGGATTTAGGTTCTAGAACTTAGTCCCATGCTGGCTAAGAATGACTGCTTCCTCCATCACTTTCAGAAGTAAGTACAAAATTTAGGATTTTTATTTCAGCTGTACTTCAGTAAATGTTTCTCATGTCCATAGAGCCATCCTATTGCATATTCACACATGCCAATATAAACAAAAAGCAAAAGGTAGCAAAACCCACATGCATTTAAATATATTTAAATGTTGTCCTGGGCAACTTACATAAGGAAGAGGAAAAAACCTTTCCATCATCACAATAGGTGAACTCTTGACATTGCTGATCTCGGTTCTAGAGTTTACCATGGAAAGGAGATGTAAATCCTGAGCTCAAGATAGCTGTTCTGGAAGTATCAGTATGTAAATGTAAAGTGCATAATCACTGCTGGGCTTTTTAGTGGTAGCAATTATTCCACTAATGCGAGCATTTGTGAAAATATATTTCTCCCCCATTAGTAATTACTTGTTTAATTGCATAGTCATGAGAGCAGAGGCTATGTGTGATTTTAATGAGGGAATGGTACAGAAATGAATGGAAATTAATTCTTTGAAGCAAGAATTTTCTGAGTTATAATGTACTTATAGATTCACTTGATTTGTTATTTCTTGAGCTGTTCAAAGGAATGTGATTTCAGTGGTGGCTAAGATGCCTGTCCTATTTCCTGGGGGAATGAACTGCTCCCTGGTCAAGAGCTGTGAAATATTCCCCTTTCAGGACTCATTCTCGGTCTGAAGCAGTGTGGCGCATTGAACGTGTTACCCCCTGAGAGGTCACCACTGTTCTCTAATCACTCTTCTTTGGAGAGTTATTTTCTCTGAGTTTCCTTTGTTAGGAGGATGGACAGAAGCTAACAATGAAACTTAGCTTGCCTCCCACAGTACTTCCTAATCCTCGAGACTCTTTCCCAGTTTGCAGTCAGGACACACTAGTGAAGGGGTATGTAGGAAGGTTGTTTGCCATACCAGTTCTGTTGATTGAGTGGTGTGCTGATTGAAAATAAGTGTTCAGAAATTAGAATTTCAGGTTTATGAAGGCTTAAGCATTTTTTGCAATTGTCACAGTATGTGATGGAAAGTGGACAGTTTTTTGTGTTTGGTTTTTGCCTTCAAAATCCTACTTCATTAAATAAATAAATAAAAGTTTCTGTTCTCATTTAAAAACCTAATATGTACTCACTTTTAAGAACTTACATTTTGAAATTGTTTGGCATTTTTGATGACTTGGAGTGGCACTTTGACAGCAATGCCTGGCAAGGGCTTCCCAAAATAAGCTCACAATATCATGACTGTATTCCATATTGTCTTTTATCTGTTTTAAGACTACTTGCATGAATCTGCAATAGTAAGATCAGAGTCCTACTGTATTTTAGCTACTTATTTGGCAGGGTCTTCAATTTGCTTTCAGTGTTGAATTTCTTCAGAGGCAGACACTGTAAAGTGTCTGCCTCTGAAACAATTGACATGTTCACAAATACACTGTTTCCAGTTAGAATGTCTCCCATAAGCTTTGGACTTTTTTCTGATACTGTTTTATTGTAATAATTCTATGTCCATACAGCAGAGAAAATTCTAGTTATGGCTTAGGAGAAGCTTTAGAGGCTTTGTTTTGGTCATTTTAGAAAAATACTAGGTCTCCATATTTTCTGGATACATAACAGTTATGGATTCAAGCTGTCCTGCTTACTGATAGCATTTTCTGGGTGTTTGGGGATTAGCTCTGCAGTTTTTCTTGAGTCTAAATAGCATTTATTATCTTGCTTTTGCTTACAATGCCAAAAGAAGATAATACAGAATGGTGATTTCTGCTATTCAGTGGCCAGCAGGGCTTGCTGAATAAGAAATATGAATAGCTCAGACATTGAATAAAATCTTATAAGATAGATTTCAGATTCTTAATGAAAATCATATTCTAAAATCCAAGGTTGTGTTAAAAGGAAAAAAAAAGAGGCAATTTGTCACCACACAAGGCACACAATGCAGTTTCTCACTGTAAACATGAAGGTGCTGATGATTGATACTGGTGACTAAGTTAAAAAATCTAATGGTGCTTTCTTTGATTCTTCACATAAATACATTACTTCCCTGAGACAAGTAATTTATAAATGTTGGAAGTTTTACTTAAATGAAAATCAGTAGCTTCTGTGGCAACTACTACCTGGAAAATATAGTTGAAAGCAATGCTATAGCATGAAAAGGTAGCATGTAGTACTGCAATTATGTCTTCATGTTATGAAGAGGTATTGATTAAAATGGTGCATCTATTTTATTTCATCCATTCAGTAGTCATTTTCTGGAGGTAGTACTTGAGAAATGCCCCATCTCTGGAAGTGTTCAACGTTGGATGGGGCTTTGAGCAATCTGGTGTAGTGAAAGGTGCCCCTGCTGCGGCAGGGGGGTTGCAACTGGGTGATTTTTAAGCTCCCTTCCAAGCCAGACCATGTGGAAGAGGTTTTACAGTGACTTCTGTGAGCCAGAGAGAAGTTTCATAAGAGGATATATGTCTACTCCTGAAAGAATTTTCTACCGAGGTCATTGACATAGAAACCAAGAAAGAAAAAAGGATAAGTTAAGAGAAACCTGCAACTGCCAAACTGCCGATTCCAATAAGCACTTTGTTTGTCTTTTGTGACAATGAGTAAAGTGTAAACTTATGAGTTTTGTAAGAATGTATAAAAAGTATGCATGCTATAATAAAAACAGGTTTGAAGCCTTCTGAAAATGGAGTGTGTTGCTTTGTATTGTCTCCATCGCCTTCTGAAAATGGAGTGTGTTGCTTTGTATTGTCTCCATCTCAACTACGACAAGACCATTCCATGGTTCTATGGAAGTGGGCTGTTTCTCTATTTAGACAAGCTCTTTAGCTGAGAACTGCTTCTCTATAAAATCCATTCTTGACAAGATGATGGTCAGCCAAATCAATTGATCAAATATCTTTTCCAGTAGTATGAGTGTGAGATTGAAGTTGAAATCAGTTTGCCAACCCTAATTACTCCTTATTGCCTATATAGAAAAATCAGGAGTGAGTTTTGCCATAAGGCAGAGTTTGTTCTGATTTGCATTTCTCCAGAATGATGGCAGTGGCAGTAATGATGCAAACACATCCAGCTCAAGCAAGGGCCGGAAACCAGGCTAAGTCACTAGGGAGTTTTCATGCTGGATGCTGCACGTAAAAGATGAGCTTAACTCTTGTCGAAGGCTGCAGTGTGTGCTGTACAGATAATACAGAAGTTGGAGTAGCTGATGCTAATATGGTTTCCAGTGCTGCACAGCCTTCTACAGAGAGAAATGGAATCTTTGCATCCTTCACAGGGCACTGTGCTGCCCTCATGGCATAAGTGTTTCTGCAGTACAGTCATACTTTCTTTGCAGTGTAGGGAGTACCATAAGACTGACAGGAAGGTGGTGCATTTGCCATGATGCTAAGAGGTACTAGTATTCATCACATTGAAAAATTCTGAATTTGTTCTTCATTATCTCATTCTTTCCTGCTACTGCTTGTCTTAGGACTTTGGCCTGTGAAAGTGTTTAGTCCTAAGTCAGTGGTAAGCTGAAGATGCTGGAAAATTATCATTCTTGTCCTGCTGGTGTTTAAGAATAGTCATGGAAGCTTATGGGAACTCTCTGTCTTTTTGCTTATTAAGTGGTCTTTGTAAAAACTGAAATGCAGCCCTTCTCTAAAATCTGAAGTACTGAAGAGGCCCACGTGGCTTTAAAGTTCAACTCCCAGGGGGTTCCTCAATATTTAAAGTGTATAAGAAGAGTACAGATATATGTAAAGTGTGGAAATCTGTGATAAGACCGTGCTTGCCCTTACAAGTAGCAGTCAGATTTAGATGAGATGTGGGAGTTAAAAATGTAGAGTTCCATCTAACTGTTCTAGATATCATATAACTGATACTGCATCAATAACTAACAAACATGTGCCACTAAGAGGAATGAGAATTGCACATCCACGTGCTGTGCCTCACCTTTGTTCTTGCTTTGCTGGGGGCTGTTATCCTCTGAGGATGAGGCATGGAGAGAAGCTACTCATGTAGTTACACTTCTGGAATTACTGCAATCCATTTTCCTCATCTGCACTCCTTAGGGGCAGAAAATGAGTTGTAAATGAGGTTGGACTATTTATGCTTTATGTAAATTTCAGGAAGTTAAGTAGTGAGTCAAACTAATGCTGTCCTTAACTTGAATATTTTTATCTCATCATTAAGAGAAATTTAGATATGACTGTTAAGGAAGAGGAAAGTGTTACCTTGTAGGATGTATAGAAGATGTGTTAAGAGTCTGTAATATAATTGTAGGTGAACACATTTTTTTTAAGGAAAGAAAGTAAATCAAATACTTTGACTAAGTTGGGAAGTCTGACAACAACTTCAGCCGTAGTCCGTGTTCCATGACTGGTGAAATCTGGGTAAGTTATGAGATTGTCTGGAAAACTGCCATGATCCAAGTTTCATCCTATTTAAAAGATGATAGCTAACAAATGAAAAGATGTCACCAGCTGTGATAGACAGGAGATAATATGCAGAGTGTGCAAGTCCATTTACAAGTGACTTTTTTTTTTTTTTTTAGTTTTCTGATAAGAAATGAATGAATGAAGTTTTTTATTTGTGTATTTTTATGTATAGATTATGTATGCTTTCTGTAATAGCCAGTTTTGCCCCTTTTTTTTCCCAGAGTCAAGATGAGAGATATGCTTTCATTGCTGAATGGTATGACCCAAATGCTTCACTCTTTCGGCGTTATGAACTTCTGTATTACCCAAAAGACTCATCAATTGAAATGGTAAGGATGTAAGAAAAAAAATCTGTTGTCATAAATTTAATATCCAATTAAATAGTTCATAAAATGGCAAGTCACTGCCTATACCTAATGATTTTCCAGGTAAGAAAATTTAATTTAAAATGTATCTTGCTCCGTTTCTAAAATGAAAAGAAAAGCAAGTAAAGCATATGGAATAGCTATCACATTTATGATTTTTTTTTCTTTCTTAAAGCTTGCTTTGGTGTGGAGAGATTATTTTCACAAATCTGTTTTCATTCAATCTCTACTTGGGTTTCAGAATTGAAACTCAGCAACTCTGGCCTACTGCTTGAAAAAAGTAAGCTGACACTAATTCCAAACAGGAGACTAAGCTTCAGCAGGAATTCCACAAGTCTCTGAACAGTAAAGTGTAAGAGATTCTTACCAAAGTAGAGGAAATGGTAAATTTGGTTTAATGAGAGGTAGGACATTTCAGACAGTGAGATCCAGATTTTTTCATCAGTGGTGCTTGCACAGACCTTTCTGACTTGTCATTCATACAACTAATCCCATTGCTTATTGACAGCAGTGAAAACCAGCATTTTGCAGTAGCAGGCATGTATATAAAAATATAATATGTACTGTAAAGATAATCCTCATGCCAACCAATGCTTTGCACTTCCTTTTAGGAATGATTTAAGTGGCATGGATTAGTCCGTTCCAATTCTTAGTGAAGAGACTAAGAATAGCCTAGATTTGGATATTCACACTTAGTAATTTCATTATAGAATTTTAACTTTCCTGCTATAAAAGTCAACTGCGGAATAAGAAATCTAGAGGTATTGACTTTTTCTTACCCAAACTGCTCCTCACTGAAGCAATAATACCCAGTTGTGTGAGAAGATGCACTTTGCACTGATTACTAAGTTAGTTCGTTGTATGATGTCTGTATGTGCAGTTTTCAAAATGTGAGGTTTCTAATTTTTATTTCCCAGAGACAGTTTAGCTGATCAGTCAGGAACTGTAATAATCTTCCTACACAACCATGTGTAGGCTGGCAAAATTATTGTTCATTTCACCTACACGTCTCAAAACCAAGAGCTTCCAAGGTGTTCTTGGGCTTCTTAATGCAGTACCTATGTTTTGGCAGACTTTTGTGTTTTGCTAGTGTGCTCTTAGGTTAAAGTAGTGTGTACTACTTTACGCAGTCATAGACTGCATGTCGGCAGCACAGGAATTAGAAGAACAAAAATGTATATGAACACCCTTAGAGAAAGAATATCTCAAAATCACTTTTGGGGATGAGTTTGTGGACAGATATTACTTTTAGAATTATTTTCTGGATTGTTTGTTTTTTATTTCTGCAGAACTTGTTGATTTTTTTTTCATTTTTACTGCCTTATTCTTCTGCATCTTCTAGTTCTTTCCTGTGGAGATGACAACCTGCTCTTACCTCTAACATATCTGAGAGAAAGGAGGTGATGGTAATTAGCCAGCTTTCCCCCACTTATGAGGAGGATGTTTCATCCCTTTCCTCTCCATCCCTGACAACAGCTCTCTCGTCACACACCTCATCTGCAGGTGGAGCAGAGCTCTTGAAGGCTTGTGTTATATGAAGTCCTGAGCTTAACTTTTCTTTCTGTCCTTCATGTCTTGTTTGTGAAGTAGAATGCCATTGTGAATAATGAGAGAAGTTTCCAGCTTGCTTTGCAGCTGTAAGAAGACAACATAGATTTTTGTCAAAGGACAGTAAGCAGTTCTCTCAGTCAAACTGGATCTCTTGACAGAGAGGCCCCATTCTCCAAGTCTTCCATAGATAACAACTCTTGTGGGGAATTCTTAAAGCCTTAATAACGTTTCTTCCTGCAAAAGATTTCTTAAAAAGAGAGAAGAAATTTTTAAAAAGGACAGATTCTTATCAGAGAACTATTTTGTTTTGGGTAATTTACTTCTACATGTACATGGGCAGGAGTGGAATAATTTAGTTTATAAAAAGCTCTTTTAAACATATTCAAAAGTCCACTCTAAAGAGGAATCCTTTAACACAGGTAGATCCCCTTTTCTTTTTGAGAAGAGAAAAGCACCTTGGGGTGCCTTTCTAGCAACCATTAGTGAAACAACCAAGGAAATACTCAGATTTTTGGTCAAGATATTGAAGAATTTGCTTATGGTTGAGACAGGCTAATAGCCTTCTTGGCAAAGTCCAGGTGAAACAAGTAGCCAAATTCAAGTTGGTTTCTTTGATTTTTTTTTTTACCATGTTGTCATTTCATTCCCTACTGCACTTGAATAGTGAACACTTAGTAGGGGCATGTATGAGGGGCTAAGGACATATCAGGAGGAAAGGATTCTTCCTTACAATCATGCCTCAGCAGAAGGCAGTATCAAAATAATTTGCAATTCTTTAATCTGCAAAGTTTTGGCTATCCGGAAAACAATTCTTCTAGCCTTCTAACAGGACTGTATTCACACTTTTCAGAACATGGAATTCTGCTTTTAAATTTTTTTCCGTCCCAAATTTGTCGGAATGATGATGTTTCTTTTAATGCTATTCTAGTGGATACACCATTGCAGTGGAGGACAGCAGCTGTAGGTTGAGACAGAAGGGGAAGTTTGGCCTGAGGAGGACAAAGCTCTTCCTTTCATAGGCTTCCACTTCCCCAGGAATTGGAAGGGATCTGTAATATCTACTTGGGAGTGAAGAAACTGTTCAGCAGGTTGACTTCTGTGCTTTGCCAGCCCACCCAGAAAAGTATACATTAATGTCTGGCTTCTTGCTTGGAGTGATAATAGATAAAGCTGAATTGTCCTGACAGGCTTTTGAGCTTCCAGCTCCAGGCAGTGAGAACATCTCAGCCAAGTGTTGCAATCATCTCTCCATCCCTAATGCCGAGTCTTACGCAGTCAAATAGAGCATAATATCACTGGAATGATGCCCTGGAGAGGAGGCCTGCCAGTGTGTATCCTGCTCGTTCTGGTGTGAACCACTGGGTTGTGAAACAGTACGGATGTGCTGGGGGAACTCTCAGTGAGGCTGGGCAGAGGCATTCACCAGGCACCTGAACCTTTTATCACAGCTTAAATTAGAACAAGCAAATTACAAACCAAAAAAATTTCAAAGATAGCTCTTTGCCTGAGACTATTTAAATGCAATAAATTTGTAATTGTGGTTTAGTCTTCTAAGCTTTCTTGCTACACGTGTAAGTTCAAAGGGCTTGGAATTAAATTGATTAAGTGATCAGATTCAATCCCATAGTACTAAGGAAATTTTTGACAGATTAAGTTGAGTTTGCCCACAACTAAATCTCTTGCTTAGGTAGATTTTAATCTTGTTTTTGCTGCAGTATGATGTGAAGAACCGTCGCATGTTCCTGAGGCGCACCAAGTACGAGAGCTTGCACCTTGAGGATCTCTATGTGGGCAGCAAAGTCACTGTGTTCTCCCGGCACCTCACCATAGTGGACTATGGGAATCTGTACACATCTCGCAAGCTTGGGAGCCGCAAAGAGAGGTGAGAAGGGAGATTTTGGAATCTTGTGGTTGGGATTTCAAAGTAGATGTTTGCTAGAAATGAGGTTTCTGTACTAATGTGGGCAGAAGAGGAGATGGCTGCACCTTTGTATGCAGTTTGAAAGGATCTGATTTTCTGATGGCTGCATAGAAGCAAAGTGGTACCTTGCAAGGCCAGCTTCTCTATGGTGTCAGCTGCTGGCTCCTCTAGGTATCTTGGGAGAGAAGAGGAGGAGGAGGATGTCCTATTCAGCTTTGTTACTCAGCCGGGGCAGGCACCAGTAGGGTTCTTGTGATTTGTGGATTCTCCTGGGGCAGAATTGATGTGGTGTAACTGATGTGTGCTGGGCTTGAAAGGCCATGAAGGTTGCAGCTGTCTCTCTGGGATCTGTGTAACCTCATGAAAGTTGCAGCTGTCTTTCTGGGATCTGTGCAGAAGCCTAGTGCCTCACCAGTCTGATCTACTCTCTCTTAGTAGTGATAAATGAAAGTACTAGAGGACTGCTCCCCTTCTCTGTTGTTTTTCCTCACTGTGGAGATTTTTTCTGAGAATTTTTTTCAGCTTCTCTTAAGCTCTGTATGCATGAGGACAGAAAATACAGTGTGAGAATGTCAGTAAAAATTACAGGTTTGTTTGTTAAGATGAAGTTTGTTTTTGTTTGTTAAGATGAAGTTTGTTTATCATGGATGAAGATAAGACTCATAATGTATTTTTCATTTAAAGACTTGCTTTGGAAAAGACTGTAAGAAGCCATCTGAGCACACATATGAGGACTAAGAATACGAGAACACTAAGGTTAATTTTAAGAAATTTAGATCTGGTTTAATGGCAGTGCAGGTAATCTCTGAATTCGCAAATTAATACACTTTTATAATTTCCTCCAGCCTTTTTGAAAAGAACACAGAACATTTTCTTAGGTATGGTATTCAGTGAGCCTTAATCACTTGCTCTCTTGCTCCCTCCTAGTAAATGGACTTGTTTTAAACTCTTTTTGGAGAGTTGTACATAACCAGACAGAGGAAGAACTGCATGTTATAACACACATCTTTGTCTTAACTGCACAAAAAAAAATCGCTGTGAAAATACATGCCATAATATTTTTTCAGGAGTTCTGGTACTTCTCTAAGCTGGGGTTGGGCATGGTGAAAGAGCAGCAAAGGAGGTAGAGAACACAAGGGGATGGATTCTGTACATGTGGCTACTCTTTCTGTTCCTCAGTGCAGCTTTGGGTAGATTGTAAAGATTCGGTAGATCTTTATATCAGTGTAAAGTTGTGTATTTCCTGCTCTGCCTAAATTAACATATTGCCTGGTGCTCTTGCAGTGCTCCTGCAGTTACACCAGGAAAAGGCAGCTAATGATAAAATGACATTTTCTTTAGTAGGAGATGTTGCAGTCTACACATTTTAATTGTGTTGGTCTTAGGAGGAGGCAAATCTTTGTACTGGTCTACAAAAGGAGGAAAAGGCATTTATGACATGTCAGATGTTTGGAAAACATTTTAAGAATGTTGGCTGAAAGATAACATAGATATTCAAGTGGTGTTACATATTCAGAATAGCCCAAAGGAACATAGTGAAAAGTACCTCGCTCAGGCAAAGGATCCTCAAAATTCAGTTTCTTCACAGAAGCTTTCACTGAGGAAACAGGGTCATATTAAAAGAGTTTCCTGGGGCACAACAGTTGCCTGTGAGTTATTTGTCTTTTTGGCCTGTTCCTAGCAGGTTTTAGAGCAGTTATTAGATGTAAAAAGATTTATGCTGTGCATGATAATTCCCAAAATAATCTGCAATTGGAATTATATTAATAATTTGGATGTTGTTGTGTGAAGCAGAATATTTCTCTCTCTTTCTTTTTTTTTTTTTTTTTTTTTTCCTGTTTTGCTGTACAAGACTACTGGCAGATCAGTTTGACTTTGGAAATACACTCTTTGGTCACTCAATGTGTCCTTAGACAGGCTCAGCAGAGGCTTTTGAGGGAGACTGTGGAGTGAATATTGAAAAAATCTTGAATGTTTTGAGTTAGGGACCTTTACTTTTGTCAGCAAAACAAATGAATGGGATGCTAGGTACATCAGATACAAAACAGATGTGTAGAGGAAGGCTAGATTTACACAGGCACTTTCTAGAATTAAGCTAGAATTATTAAGAGAGTTTTATTTCAGTTTCTATCTCTACTTTTCTGAAGTCTTGGGTCAGTTTTTCAATATTGTTGTATTTAAGTGTTCTGCATTTCTGTTACCCTCCCAGTGTATCATAAGAAAACCATCACAAAGAGTGACTAAAATGGTTAGGTCAGCATGTGCTTACTTACAGTGTGCCTCATAAGGAATCACTGGCATGGGACAGGGCTTTCTCTTTCTGTAGCCTTGTGATCCTGGGTGGTTGTAACCTGAGGTAAACATTTGTCTGACCAGTGTGTCCTGCCTAAGTAGGCATTACTTAGAGTCAGTATCACTGGTATTGAAAATGATGTTAGAAAACTTGTGTGTCATCCAGAAATACTTGTGTTCTGTTTTGAATGGGATATGTTATTCTTATGCTTCTAGTCATTGACATAATCATCATTTCTTCCCCTTCAAGACATAAGCTACTGTAAGTGCAGCAGTGCTATTATTAGAAGTAAGTAGGTCTCAAAAGCATAGTCACAGCATGCTTTGTGCATTGTTCCTTTGATCAGTTCTCATTTTCTGTTGTTTCAGTACTCATTGTGGTACTGTCACACAGTCCCTCTGAAAATGTAAGCAATGTGAGCTTAATTTTCCTTCTTTCTCCTTGGCTCCTTGACACTAAGCAGTTTTCAAATCTGCACACTGCACACTGCAGACTGCATCATGCAAACCCCATGAAATGTATTCCTAATTAAAACTAAAAATAGAGCACATGAACCAAAATCCAATCTCAGAAGCAGTCCTCAGCATCCTGAAGTCTGCTTTTTGTATCCTGCTTGCTTCTGAAAAGCTCACACTGAAATGCTAAAATTTAAATATCAGTGTCAGACAAAAGACATTACAAGGGTTGCTCATTGCAGTTTGCATTACCTCTTCTAGGTAAATTGCTTCATAATGCAATATTTCTTTGCAAATTTGTAGGAATTACACTATTACTAAAAAACCCTTGAAATTAGAAAAGTAAGGGACAATTTAGTTCTAGCATTACCAGTCTGTCTCAGACAACCTGTGTAATAACATAAATACAAAAAAGTGTTCCTTGAGGAAATGCAAATGGTGCTGGAGATCCCATTCCAGAGGTTTGATCCTTATTGTTTGTGGGAAATGAGAGTGTAGAGAACCTCTTGTGCCAGCATGCAGGTCATGCATTGTGTGATTCTAATTGATCAAACATGCAGCTGCTCCTCCTCATGGGCCTCGATTCATGTGGTACACCATGTGATATGATAAATAATATCACAAAATGAGGTGGGGCTGTGAAATCCTTGGGGAAGAGGGGAACAGGCTGTAAGGCTGCGTGAAGTATGCTGGCAAACTGTGTTCAGTGTTGGTGAGAGGTCAGCCTTTCCTGAGAGGTCTGCCTTTCCTTCTCTGAAAATGGGGTTAAACCAACTGTAGTCTGCACAGCTGTGGACTGAAGCGCAGTGTTAGTTGACTGCTTCCATGCAGTTTCTGGCTGCACCCTTAGTCCATCAGTCTTTTTGTATCATACTTCCCCATGGGTCTGAGTCTGAGGCACTCTGTGTATGGGAGCTTTGTGGTGCTTGAGGAAATCTGTTTGTTTCTGAGCTCTGAAGGTCATCTACGCCTCTCCCTTAGTTGCAGATAAAATGTCGCTTATGTTCAAATTTTTCTGGTGACATTTCCTGGTCCTAAAACCTCCCTTGCTCTACATTTGCTGTGAAATAGTCTGTCTCTTGCCAAAGCGTCTGTCAATCTGGGGTCACTTAAGGTTCAGAGCAAATGTACTGGAAGTTCATCCATCTCCTATAATCTCAGCATATTTGCCCCGGCTGGAATATATTGCTGCTAACCTAAGGGCTACTTTCCATGCTATGCTGGTATATAAAATAGGAAATTTGCAATTATTTGTGTTTCATTCAAGGAAGTACTGCAATAAAAAATTCCATCTTGGAGAGCCTTCTTTATTGGAAACAGTGTAAAAAATGGAAACTGCTCTTTTTAGGATTGTCAGAGACGTGGCGTTTCTGAGATGCAGGGTTGAATAAATCTGTTGGTTTGTAGGCCGAGCACAATTGAAGCTGACTCACCACAAGATGAATGCAAATAGAAAATGCAATTTTACAGACCTTCTTTTTGTGCTTGTTATTTTTGATTAATAATACGTTTAGTGCTGATGGTGTTCTTGGTGCTGTGCAAAGCTCACTAAAACAGTCCTGGCCCTGGGGATGTACAGTGTAAAAAGATAATTACCTAGAAGACAGTACTTGGAAAGAAAGATGTGGGGGAGAGTGTAGAGATTTTTGGATTGATGTCCCTTAGAATACAGAATATAGCTGTCAGTCAGTATAAGAGATTAAATACCTCCTCTTCCATCCTTCTATTGTGTCTATTAACAATGTCAGCTATTTGGCATGCACATTCTATACCGTGAAGTTTTTGTACTGTACCAAGCACAAGAGGATCTTCTTCTTCTCACAGAGGTCTTCAAAAATTCAAACTTTGAGTTTTATGGAAGAGGCACATGTTTGAGTAACATTTTTTAACAGGAATTTTAACAGCTTCAATTTTTTGTGTATGATTAACATTAGGGAAAAAGGGAGTTGAGCAAGCAGAGGGAGAGATTAGCAATTCAATTGTGTTCTGACCCAGACTGAGGAGCTGTTGAGATACCAGTTATCTAAGGAAGAAGTGGTCAAATCGTGTGCTCTGAGAGCAAAGGGAGAAGTTGATAAATAATAACTGCTGGTGGAACATTGTGAGCTGACTTGGGTTAGAAAGCCAAGAAAATTAAAATGTGCAAACCTTGTTCTTATCAGAATAATGTGTTGCACAGGCATTCAAGAACAGCATGGAAATTGATGAGACACTGGGACAGTGAATATGTGACGGTGACAAAATTTCTCTTTGCTGTGCTGTTTTTTTTTGTCTGAATATAAACCAAACATGCACACCAAATGCTCTAAGGGAAGTTGTGTTGGCTGTATCTCTCTAATATATTTTTTTTCCTTCCCAGAACGCTGGCTTTGATTAAACCTGATGGAATGCGTAAGATGGGACAATTATTTGATATCATTATTAATGCTGGATTGACAATAACTAAGGCCAAAATGATGCTGCTTTCAAGGTAAGGAATTCTTAAGGTTAGCTCTATTGTATCTAAATATTTTTGCTATTAAGAATATTCTCTAAAGCTATTCTGTGTTGTCCCATCTGTCAGATCCATTCCAGTGACTAAAAGAGGTAACTCATGAAGCTCATCAGTTTCATTGTTCTGCAGGTTTCTGAAAGTATTTAGAGATTTAAGCTAAATATCAAAAAGTGCTGTGCAAATGAGTATGGGTGATGAAATACGTCATGTCTGTATGAACCCAAGGTGGCTACCATAGCTTTAGCAATCCAGCAGTGTTTACTACTGACATGTCTGTATGTCCTCACCTCCAGGCTTCCTCATACAGGTGGTATTGCTCATTATAATACTGTTGTCTTTAAAGTATTTGGTTTCCTTGCTCTCAGTAAATCTGTTGTCTTAATTTTTGCTCTCAGATTTTTTGCTGGAAGTCCTAGGCAAAGCAAGTGATCTTCTGATGGTGCAGGGTTGGACAGGTTTTACTCGTGCATCTTCCTAATACCTCAACCTTCAGTGTTCTCCACTTCTTAATGAGCCCCAAGATTTAAAAGGAAGGCATGCTTCAGAGGAATAAAGAACATAATTAATTTGCCTCAGAAGACTTTCCCAAAGTTGCTGCATTATTTTTCCATTGCTGCTTTACCAAACCTATTCGTATGCAACATGTTTTTTGAAAGAAAAGCTATCTATTTTACATAATACCATTTTCATGTATTCTTAGTATTTATGTGAGAGGTCAGCAACAATTTTTCCTTCACTTCAGAATCTTTTTGGCTTTCTGAAATACTGATAAAATCACTAACAGACTTCCTCCTCTGCATACACCTGCTGCAATATCTGATGGTAGTAGTTCCAGATCCTCCACCCAACAACTCCAATTCATGAGTTCAAACATGTTTCTAATGTTCCTTTGCAATTCATAATGTTCTTTCAAACTAGCTTTTTTTTTTGCTTCCTCTCTCCTGCCACATGAGAGATTTGATCCTGAAGTGTTGTTTTGGGTGATGCTTTGTTCGAGTGTCTCTCTGAGAAGTCAAACTATTGAGCCAAGTCACGGGCATTAGAGTTGACTCACACTAAAGGGAATAAATGGAGACTTGAACTTTTACTGCCTACTGCAAAATAAAAATTTCTGGTTGTCTTGTATAATTGAAATTAATTATTAATAAGCACAAGAATGGGCTGCGATACTGAATGTGTTTAAATGTATCATGAGTATTTTGTGGTTTCTCTGCATACCAACTACTCAATTTCTTGGGACTGTGCCATTTTAAAATGATAGAACTATGGCTTTTCCAAAGTCTTCTACCCTTATATTTCTGCAGGCTTGCTTGTTCAAATCATCATCATCATCTACTGCTTTCTTTAAAGGGATTATTGACAACAGTTGTCTGTCAATCAGTGTTAAGTAGATTCATGCCTTCTGTAGAAGTTGTAGTGAAGATATGGAAGTGTGGGCAGGCACTTGCTTCTTCAGTCTCTTCCTTTAATACTGTGTCAGTTCAGTCTGTTATACATAGGTGAACACTGTTTTCCATTATTTGAAAACAGAGAACTAATAATGAAATTTAAAAGGAACTAAGTTATACAACACAACTGCACTTTGATATTTATTTCAGTGGGAATTGTTAACTGAATAGTAGAGCTCAATTTGTTTCAGAAACAGACTTCTCAAATACTTCTTTGCAATCAGAAATGGTGATACTTAATCTCTTCACATACCCTTTTCATATTTGCTCTCCAAAATTCTTTGGTGAATTAATTTCAGAAGAAGGTTTTCTTGTGAAATTATGAATTGTAGGCAAACCTTTTGCCCAGCGTAGACTTGAAGCGTGAGATTGCAAGAGTTCCGATGTCTAGCATAATTTTTACATCATGCTTCTGCCTTTGTTTGAAAAGGAAGGAAAGTAAATATACTGTATGGTTGATAAAAATATTTTGGACTTTGAATGGCTCATACTTATACTGAACTAAAAGCAGCAAACCAGGAATTACTCAGGTCATTTTGATAAAAAAGCTGGAGAAAAATGTGACTGTTCAAACATGGATAAATGTTAAGAAAATTAAATTCTTCTTATGTTCTTCTTGATGTTATTTCTTTCCTCTGGCAATATTTGGTTTAAGTCTGGACTGCAAATTGGAGAGAGACATCAAAAGTTCAATTTCAGATGACAGAACTATGCCTTTCTTCATATTTGGAATCTGTTATTTGAAAAATATGCAGGCAATTTCTGTCAGTAAAGACAGCTGCTGAAAATGAGCAAACTCATGAAGACCAGAAAAATTTAAAAGACTGTGCTGCAGGTAAAAACAACTTTCCAATTTGGAATCTCACCCTACAGCACTGCTTTATTATGAACTCTATACCCAGAGTAGAGGTCAGCAATTTTTCTTTCTTTCACTTGTCAGTCCTCTTGAAGAGCTTGTCCTTCTCTACAAATTCCAGCTTCAAAAAGTGGCACACACCAGAATTTGGAGCAAGCCAATACTGAGCCTGTGTTCTCAACAGGATTTCTGAAGCTGCAAAATAGCAGGTTTAGAGCTGAAAAACTCCATGGATTTTTCTAGCTGTTGCTGTGCAGAAAGAGCAGTTCAGTAAGCAAGAGTAAAACGTGAGAAGCAGCTGGAGAAAAAGACAGGGAAGAGAGTAGGAAAGAGTAGGTTGGCTGGTGGCAGGGGCTGGTGGGGTCAAAAGCCACAAAACTGTGTGTCCATTGGTGGATGGATGGTAGCTCTGCACTGTAGTGGTCCCCAAAACCTTGTAGTTGGGTTGCTGAACCCAGTGCTGGTAGGATCGTGGCTGTGGCAATGCAGAGCTTGGGAAGGGCCATCACCCTGTCTGAAAAGGACAACTTTTTACTTCTAGCTCCTGAGGAAAGCCTGAGTAACAGCTGTGCTGCAGACACACTGGGTATGCCTGGTAGCCTTTATTTGCCTGGCAGTGTAAGGAGACCCCTTGTTGGTGATGGAGAGAGATGGGGAGACTGACTCAGTGATCAGAATCCGATTTTATTGTGGGATACAAATACTTATATATTATTTCAGGGAGACCTGTAATGTGTACTACAATGATTAGATTAAAATCACATACACAAACTTATGCATATAACAACATGTCTTGCTTGCAGAGTTTAATGGGATTTTCTTTTTCTGGTAAACCCGTTTGATTTATTCTTCTTGCAATCTAGGTCTAATTTTCAAAGTTCTGTTTGCTTTTGCCAAGGCATTCTGTTATCAAATCTCTTATGTTAACCAGGCCAAAGTCCATCATCTGTCTTGTGTCCCCCAGCATTCCAATAACCCCTCACTGCTGAAGCCCCATTGCTTTGGAAGAAAGGAGTGTGTAGTCACTGCTGTGTTCCCTGAGGAGACTGCAAGGCCAAATTGAGTTTTGAAGCGTGAAAGTGTGGGAGAAATCCAGTTTTAATATGGAGGCTATTGTGCTGCCTATTCAACTTGTAAGATTTGAGGACACTGAGTGGAAACCAGGTTATGCAGAATTTTGTTATGCACCAGTTTAATCAAAGACTAGCCCTGATAAAGAAGTGTTCCAGTGGAGCAGATAAATTGCTTATGCTTTAAAACCAAACTTCATTTAGCAGTATTCCCCCTCAAACTGATGAATGATGAAAGCAACATAACAGCAAATGACTTGTAAGAAGGTGACTCTGCTGCATTTATTTCTCAGCTTGAGAATGTGGGGATGATCAATGACCATGAAATGGGCTTTAGTAATTCCTTCTCAGAGCAGGAGCATGAGGAGTAGTCAGCTGTACTGGTAGCCACACAAAATATGAAATTTAAATGTAGTTTCTGTTATTGGACATGAACAACCAACAAGTTGTCCAGCTTAGGAAGACATTGCCTGTAGAAACATGTTTATGGATGGTATTTGAATGAATGATAATTGTGGTTTTCAGGGGGGTTTTATGTATGTATGTATGTATGTATGTGTGTATATATATAGCTATATCTCTGTCTTTTTACTTTTTCAGAAAAGAAGCAGCTGATTTCTATGCTGATTATCGAGCAAAACCTTTTTATCAGTAGGTATATCAATTTCAGCTTGACGTGTATTAAGCTTATTTATTGAACACACAAAATTCATTTACCATTTTTGATGCCATGGGACCATGGGAGAGAGAATCAGAGCTTGTCTTACTTGAGTGGAGCCCTTTGCAAAGCATGCACCTTTTCTTCTTCCTCTAGGGAGAGATCCTTATTTCAGCTATTTATGGTTTTAACTCACTTTTTACAACCCGGTGGTATCAGGGGAATGTCTTTTGTCCCTCAGAAGTGAAAATGCTCCTAGCAGGGCAAAACTTCAAAGCCAAGAGAAGGGCTATCTTCAGGATCAGGGTGGAGCTTGCAGATGAGATTAGGGGGAACACTTAGTTGTAAGAATTGATTTGGTAACAAGTATCCCAAATAATAAGTAACTGAAAGGATAGTTCATAGGGTAGTTTTTAAGGGTAGTTTTTACTGTACTGCTACCCTTGGACAAATGTCAAACTTGTATGATGTTAGACTGCTCCACCTGATGTGAGAAACCTTAGTCTTTCAATAACTGACCAGATGGATGCTTATGACCCAGAGATTGAATCGTTTCTACTTTTCCTGAAAGTGCCAGCAACTTTCTTTTCCTCCCTCTCCACTTTGCATTCCGCCTCTTCTAGGGATTCGAAGGTGCCTTGTGTTTTTCAGCCGTATTGGTGCGTGTGTTTGCACTGATGTGGTTGAAAGACCTGGTTTCAGTACTGACCCGAAGTGCTTGAGAACTAGCATTGCCAGATGCTCTCCAGTAACAGCAGCTGATTTGTTGTGGGTCCAAACTCAAGCCCTTCAGACAGACATGGCCCCAGGCTATGTCTGACCATGTTGGAGGTCAGAGAATGCATGATTTGGAATTGCCTTTTCTTTGCTGAGTAAGCCTGCTTGAATATGTTGATAAATAATCAAGAATTTGCCTGAAGTCTTATTTCACAGATGTCTATCTATACTAATGGTAATTGTCTGAGGAACTGTAGCCTTTGTCCTCTGTGATGTGCCTGTCTCCCATCCTACAGTCCTATTGGCTACATCTTCTGTACAGGATTTTTCTTTAAATTAGAAATAAATAGCTCTAGAGCATTCCAAATCAAATAGAAACAAGAAACTTCAAGGCAGTGAAGTGTGAAATATATGACTCATTTATATTTGATGTTGTATCTTGTCTTTAAATTCAGATTTCATTTGCAAGTTCACTAGTCAATGCAAGTCTAGTGAATAGTAAGGAAAAATAACAATCCTATAGTTTGGAAAATAATGGCTTTCATATTAAAGAAATTTTAAAAAAAATTCAAGGATTAGTCTGCACAGTAAATAGTGTTGTAGAAATTGCTTTTTTCTTGGATGTATGTGTACTGTTTCAATGTCCTAAACAAGCAGACTCTGACCAGCAGAACCTGATATCCAATCGCTTTTTATTGTGTTGTTTCTTTATGTATTTTTTCATAGTTTTAACATTGTTTCTTTTTCAAAAAACTACTGGGATTTCTCTTCTCTTCTTGACCAGTGATCATTAGGAAGAAGGTAGTTGGAGAAGCATGCACATCCACAGTTATAATTGTGTAAAGCTCTTCTTTTAAACAAAATAGTAAAAAACTCAGGGCCAATGTTCTCCTTTGTTGGTTCTGTCCAGACTAAACAATGAAAAGACAGGCTTATTGGTATGCATGTTTTGTGAAGATACTCAATTATAGTTATTGGTGTTTTGTTTAGTTTTTAAATTGAATGTTTGGGTTACCAATTTTGGATGGTTGTTTTCTATTGTGAGATGCTCAAGACAGGAGGCAGGCTGCTCCTGACAACAACTTCTCCTTATTTGGATTCATCCCATTAAAATCACTTGAGTTATGCCAAGATGTAATAGCTCACTTTGTGAGTAAGTCCCTTATCCCATGCAAATTTTCAACTCCTTCCCTTCTCTCCCACTTTGGACGCTGGCTGGGCAAAATCCATGGGATACATCTGTGGGGCAGTGGAGAATTCAGTTTGAAAGCAGTGCTGATGTTCTGTCAGTGGGGTACACATCTAGGTCATGTATGAGAGCCTTGAAATGCTGCTGTGCAGAAGAGGAAAGCTTAGGAATTATTCCTGTTAGTCAAGTGGTTACCAGAGTCTCTCCTTCACTCTTACCAGGACATCAGTACTGATCCTTTAAAAATTCTTTTGAAATCTAAGACTCTACAGAGTAGCTTGAGTGAGTTTGGGTTAGCTACATGCTGTTTTTTTTTCTACAACCATAATAAGGGAATGTCTGCACATGACCTAATCTGACCTAATCTGAAGTAGAGTCAACTTCAAAGTTAGATCAGGTTGCTCCAGATCTTGCCAGTTTGAGTTCTGAGCATCTCCACTGGGTCATATTTTTGTTGGTTTTAATTTGTAGTGTGAATCACCATGTGCTGTTTCCCTTTTGTAGTGAGCTTCTCCAGTTAATAATGAGTGGCCCCCTCCTTGCTATGGAGCTCTTAGGAGATGATGCAGTGAGTAAGTGGAGAGCAATAGTGGGGCCAGCAAACCCTACAACGACTGAGAGTGATACACTGGACAGCATCTCAGAGAGCTTTGGACATTGTGGCCTCAGAGATGCAGCTTATGGCCCAGATTCAGTTGCTTCAGCTGCTAAAGTAAGTTTTTGACTTTCTTGACTGAGGTTTATTTTTACTTTTATCTGCTAACAACTGGATTAGGAATTTCTCATTTTGTTTCTACACTTGAGTTCAGAACTAGTTTACATATTCTTCATGTGCTCCTTTTTAGCATGGAAAAATAAACTGTCTGAAAAGAGAAGTCTTGTTTATCACAAAGGTGAATCTTGGGTGCTTTGATCAGGAGAGCATGCCTGGTCATTTTTAATGTCTCCTGTACATCACAAACAGTGATGTATTGCATAGTCTGTGTAATCTACCTATAGTCTACCAATGTTGGTCATAAAAAGAAAGGGACTAAATGATTAAATCTTTCTGTGCCCTCTTGTGTTTCACACATCTGTTCTCCTTCACAGTTCTCACTAGTGCTCTGCCTGCAACCTACTTTGCTATTATTGTTCAGAATGAAAAGTTAAAAACCAGGCCACTTTGTAGTGCTTTGTGCTTTGAGAGGTAACACAGTGGACATGACTTTGAGGAGTTTGGTTCCATTTTGCTTTGTTGGCTGTGTTTCTTTTCTCAATGCTAAGAAAAAGCCCTGGGACTGGATAATAGATATTACCATTTCTGTAGAATTAAGGTGACTTCTGTGTGCATTGTTGTGGGATAGATATGGTAATAAATGATAGCAAGAATAATGTTTATCTCATGGTTGATTGATGTATCGCTGTGGTGTCTCAGCTGTAAACCACTTTAGCTGGGGAAAGATACCAATTGTTGCTTCCTTGATTCTAGTCTTCCCTCTTTAAATTGGAACAGCTGCAGTAGCACAGCTGGAGAGAGACCTCTGGTTAAATAGTTAGATGTCTTCAAATATAAGGGTGAAAGTTTCTCTTTTTTCCTGTGTACTACCATGATAACTGCGCCAGCTTCTGAACTGAGAGTGTAGGAAAGAGTATCTATTAGCATAAATTCTTGGTTAGAAGCATAAGTGTGTGCTTAGGTTTTAGTTTGTTATTCTTGCTGCATTTCATTATTTTTGAAATGGTGTCCAAAGGCCCCGGTCATCTGCAGCATTTTTATGACACTGATATTATTTTGCTGAACATCTGCAGGTGTGTGCATCTTTGTGGAGTTAATGATACCTATCTTTAATAAATAAAACAACATTTTGAATTTAGTGCCCCTGTGCCTTTATTAATTTAATAGGCCTAGTATTATATGGCTGTATAGCAGTTGCTATGGAAACTAGTTGGCTGTGACTGCAGAAGATTTGCTGAAAAGAAGGAAATATAAGATAAAGGGACCTAAATTAACTCTCCTGACAGAAAACTGAAGTCTCAACCACATTTAATGAATGTACCGTAAGATGAACACTTAGAGTGGAAAGCTGCATTGTTCTTTTGATGGCTAAATGACAAGTGAAAGTATGTCTCTGATACATTCTAAGCTGCTGTCTCTCTGCAGGCCAAATTTTGTAATTTCTTTAGATCAGGAATAAAGGGTAAGGAAAATAATTTTATTTTTAAGGTTCAACAAGATTATAGTTTGGCCTTTCATTATCCAAGTCCTTTAGCATTATTGAGTTAATTTCCTTTTATGAATTTTAATGGATAAAACTAAGTGTTAACTATTACACATATTTTACTGCCCTTTTCTGGCTGCTTTTAGAGTAAATAGCAATTAATAGAGTGGGACAAGTTCCTTGAATCATGCAGCATTTTATCAGTAGAAGGATGTAAGGAACGAACCCTATTGTCTCAGGTGCACCCACTTAAAATGTGGATTATTTGCCACCAGAAAAACAAAGGCGCTTTTTCTATCTGTTGAAAGATACATTGTCCAGGATCCACTGTCCAAGATTCAAGCCAGACAAGTTTGAATTGTGTAATTCTTCAAGAAGGGATTACAGAAATGGTTGAAGTGCCATGAGTTTAATGTGAGTCTATTCCATTTAAGTTGAGGTAGTAAATTAAGGGAGACAATTCCAGGAAATGGCCTTTAGCATTGCTACTGTTATACAGGAAAAAATCAAATACATTTGGTAGTAGTATTTCTTGGATGAAACATTTTCTCTTAAATAGAAATGTATCAATTCTCTTACTGAATTTGACCGATAGGTATGAAATGGAACCTGTGTTTTGTGCATTTGTTGATTGGCAGATTGTGTAACATATGTAAATAAATGGTATGGAAAAAGCGTGAAGCTGGCAGTGAACAGTGAAAAAATATCGCTGAGGAAAGAAACCTGAGTGCCAAGTTCACCCCAGTATGGTCTAAGACACAAGGTATCTGATGCCTAAAAAGTGATGGTGGGAAGAAAGAAATTGAAGGCAAAAAGGTTTCTTTGATTTTTCTGAGAAATCAAAGCAATTGGGTTCATCAGCTTCAATTCAGTAAGACTGAACTAATTAATATAATTAATATAATTATAAAAAATTATAGGGGCAATAAGGCATGAGAAGTGACTCAGCAATTTTAGACAAGGTTTAATTGTTTAAGATGAAAGGAAGAAAATGCAAACAATTTGGAAGGAGGTCAGTTTTGTATATGGAAAGAAAACATACTGAGAAATGGATAATAGTTGTATTTTTGCTTATGTAGTGGAAAAGATGATTTAAAAAATAGGAAAAATAAAATATGTGTGTAAGGGAGTAGATTTGGAAAGATACTGAGGAAGGAGAGAGAGTATTAGTAAAGCTGGGAACACCTCTACCAAATTATTGTTGCATCAGCATTTTGAGTGCTCTGAGTATGAACAGATTGCATTGCAGAACTGAAGAAATACTCCAGTCAAGAAATACTCCAGTCCTGTTTTTGTGATTGTAGCAATGATGCCAGAGAGGAAAAGATACATTTGAGATAATGCTTCAGGAAAGAAGTATTTGTAGGAAAAAAAAATATGCACTAAAGGTTTATCTTCTGTGATTATGGATACTTCAGATGTTGTTACTCATGATAAAAGCTGATGTGTGCAGCTAGATCAATCTAAAATGTGTTTAATTACAATTATTTTCAGGAGCTGGAGTTGTTCTTTCCCTCCAGTGGAGGTCGTGGACCAGTCAGCAGTGCCAAATTCACAAACTGTACTTGTTGCATTATTAAGCCTCATGCTGTTAATGAAGGTAAGCAATGCAGATAGCAGAGGAGAAAGCAGTATGTGTCTATTGTATCCATGACCATTCCTGTGCTCTCTTTTTGGGAGAATGAGACTGTGTGAGCAAAGGGTGTAATTCACATGCAAAAGCTTGCAGATACATTGTCTTTCATTTAGTATTTCTGCAGTTCATTTCCATGAAGAGTGAGTGGGTCATGTGCTTTCCATGCAGATACCTGTTCACTTCAGAATAAGAAGGGAGAGGTAAAAAAGATTAAAACCTATGTGAGGTGTGACATATCTTATTGTGACAGCTTCCCATGTCCTTGCTTCTGTCTGCCCAGCACAGTCACCTGCTGGAGGTTAGCATCCTCCCAAGAAAGTGAAAGCAGGACACCTGGCCATGATCCACAGCCCTCTGCTCAGGCAGTAGCACATCAGATCCAAATGACTCACAAAGGGAGATTTGTGGTGTTACGAATCTCTTTCTACTGAATGCAGTTGGGATGGAAAGTAGGAAAGGCTTGTTTATGAAAGTGAGCCAAAGACCTAAGGCATTTGGTGGATTCTGTGATGCTTTCTGTGCTGGAGATTGCCCTGGGAGTTTGCCATATGAGTATTGGGAATGTTTAATGTTCTGCTGTTACCGTGCAAAAATAACCTCGCTTGTGTGTCCTGTACTTAGATCCAGGAGCATGTGTGGAGCAGTGAGTGCAGTAAAATATTTTGACTCAGGCACTGAAACAGTATTTTTGAATGCAGAATAAATATCGCCATGTGAGAGCATAAAGTTTTTTCTTAGTAAGATGCAGAGCACACTGCAACAGTCTAATCACTTCTTTGTGGTTAGCTTAAATGGAAAGAGCAGAAGTGGCTGGAGCAGTTTCCAGGCCTTTCACACCTCAGGTGGGATGTCTAGAGAGCTTGCTGAAATTAAAAAAGGCTTTCACAAGAAGGAGTTTTGTAGTTGCTACTGATAATGTGCCTGTTATCTCTTCCAGGCCTTGCATGGTATCTGCTGCTGATAAGTCTGCCATGCAGCAAAGACACAGCAATGTTCCTTTTACAGAAATATGGGCAGCAGCTGGGACTATGATTTTACCCAGCTACATGTTTGCAGAGGACAAACTTTTCTGTGGCAGGATTGTTAGAGTCCTTCATTTGACTGTAAAAATGGCAAAGTGGATGGCTTGGACTATTTTTTTTTAGACTTAAGATAAAATTTCTATTACATATAAAGGTTCAGACTCAGGTTTTCTCTTCCTATTTTTATCTTACTCATCTCTGTAGATTTCAGTGTGATGTCTGTTCCTTTTTTTTTCTGGAACTTCTCTGAATTTTTCTGAGTTGCCAGAAGACAAATTGTGACCCTATTTGCACATCCCTCTGGGTGTATGAGTGCCTGTAGGAGGGTGAGGGTGGTGAGGAGAGGAGGTATGAATGTATGTAAACAAAAAATGTGTGTGCACATCCAGCTTTGTAGAGTGAGTGCTGTTCTTAATGTACCCTATACAGTCCTTTTTCTCACACCACAAAGGGCTGGAAAGTCAGAGGACAGCTGCCAAAAAGCAACTAAAATTTGAAAGACAAAAAGTGTACCTTGTGAGAGCATTCTCCCTCCATACAGCTGTAATTACTACCCTCAAAAACAAAGAGATCAGAATTGACTTCTCTAAGTCAATAGACTGTTTTAACACTCTGTTGTGGTTTAACCACAGCTGGCCACCAAACCCCACACAACCGCCCGCTCACTTCTCTGGGATTTGGGAGAGAATTGGAGGAGTAAAAGTGAGGAAACTCATGGGTTAAGATAAGGACAGTTTAATGGGTAAAGCAAAAGCTGCATACATAGTCAGGTAAGTAGAAACACAGCAGCTGGAGAGGAAAGGAAATCCTGTGTGGCCTTCAGGGGGAAAGGGTGTTTGGCAAAGCCAGAGGCATGGAAGGAAAATCACGTGAGTCAAAGCATCAGAGCATCTTCTGCGTTGGAATTTTGATTTGTGCTCTATAAATTTTCAGTATTGATATCTAAAAATAAACCTTTTTGCAATTTCCTATGCACTGCTGAGGCTTTGAACTTGGCTATCTAATTACCATGAATATAAGCTACTCATTACGTATTTACAATTACATAAAGTTTCATTTATGTACTTCAGTTTATATGGAGATCTAGTCTTTATTTCTGTAGAGACATTTGGCTGAATTAATGATTTGAATTTTGCTTTCTGGCCCTTTTCCCCAGTGTTTTTTTTTTCCTCCAGAATCTGTTGCATAACTGATTCTTAGAAGGAAAAATCTTCCTGGTTTTCTGTCCTAGAAGATGATTTGCTTTAATGGCAGCTGTAAACTAGGGTGCTTTTCAGGATATAATCTCTAGTTCATGCTGGTTAATTCTTGGGCACAATACTCTCTTAGGAAATGACTTTCATAGCTACAGGTGGTTTCTATCCAGTGATAAAGTAGAGGAAAGTTAGTGCTGGTTTTATCTCTGGCCTTGCTGCCTCTTTCCTGATGGACATACAGAAGTGTCTGGTCCTAGGCAGCCACAGCAGCACAGTCCAGCCAACCACAGTGCCCAGGCACCTGAGAATTCCTGTAAGCAGGAGTGTCAGCATGTCTACCAGGCTGCAGAGGAACTCTGGCCTGGTAAATGGTCGTGGGGGACTAAGGTGAAATTTAACCTCAGCTGTCAAGAGTGCTCGTAATGCTGGCATCGCTGGCCCTCTAGGAGTGTGTGCCATGCATATCTCTTAAAGAAGTAAGGCCATAGCTATTGTGTCAGCTTGGTGTCAGCATAACATCTGTGGAGGATCAGAAAGGGGTAGGCCGTGGAAGGCAGTGTAGCCCAGAGCTCTGGACTAGACAGCTTTAGGGAGCTCCCTGGTGGTTGCTCCCAGTGGAGATGGAGAACTTCCCTGGCTGGCAGCAGTGAGGTGGTTGTATTTTAACTCTGAAGAGGCTTTGCAGAGCAGTCCAATTCTTCTTCACTGAGAGCTAGAAGCAATCTGATGCAAAAGCAACCCGATGCTACTCCAGGCAAATTTGTTCTGACCAGGGCTGCATCAGGGAGACATGATGGGTTTATCGCCTCTAGAATCTGTTATCTGAATCGTCTCAGTGTCTTTCAGTTTCCTCCTCTTCTCCTGAGACCAGTTTTTAGTCAAGTAGGTTGGTAACTAGTAAGCACAGCTCTAGGATTGTATGGTTAAGTCATTTAACAATTTGAAGTTTTTAGTGTTCATCTGCGTCCTGTAATCCTCCTGCTTCTTGTGCTTCTGATACTTGAGACACAAGATCATAGTTGCAATCACATAAGCATTTTTTTTTGTAATTCCCCTCATGTTAGTAGATCTGGAGGTATTGGCACTAGTGCTCAGAAGCCAAACTTGTGAATTCACCACAATGGGTAAACATCAGTGTAATGCCCTTAGGAGAGTTATGATTCGACTGCTTTGTGAGCAGAAATAGCACCCTATAGATCACTGGGTGGGATTAACTTCCAGTATTTTTATGTGTAACAGTTTAGTCATGTTTGCTGTAGGAAGTAGACTTTGGTATTTCGTGACAGGTTTAAAGTTTCTTTGATGTGGCCTTTAGTTCTTCCTTGGAAAATTAGCAGGCGAAAAATTTTAAAATAGAGATGATCAGGCTGTAAAGACTGAGGTCAGAAGTGTGTAATGTGCCATCTGAAAAGGCTGCCTAGAGGAAAGGAAGCCTCTATGGTTTTGAGAGGTCCTAGGCATGAGACTGACTACCCAGACAGGTTTGCTCTCCTTGTATGTGTTAAGCTTGAGATTTTTTTCTAACGTATCTGCTGAATTAAATCCTTTTTCCTCTTAATTAAAAAAGATACAGTGCTGTCTTCCACAGTATTCTTCAACTAAAGAAAATTCAAATCTCGTAGAAAATAAAAGGAGCAGGAATACCTTCTTGCCAAGTGAAAAAGATACTGTGTGGAAATGTGGTTTTAGACCTGTTCTGAGTGGATGATAAAACTTAGACCTCTTCTATTTTAGCTTAGTAGCGAGTGGACAGCTTTAGAAAGTTGTAGAACTTTATATTCATTAACAAAATGTTGCATGACAGGAAATCATAAGAATCATATTTCCTTCTTTATGCAAAGGCAGAAAAATTCCAAGTGAGAGAATAGTTTGTAGCTCCAAAGACAAATCTAAATGTGACAAAAAGAATACCAAGGATGGTAGTTCAGTCTCAGGCAAGTACAGAAACAAAGTTTACTTATGTAGAATCTCAGGTGAATTTACTGTACAAGAGAGAGTGAGGAGAGGAGTGTAGAGCATGGGAATCTGGCATTGTAGTGGATTATCTGACTGCAGACAACTGAAGGACTGTCCTGACACACAATACACTTGTTGCTCTTTGAAAGAGAGAAGGCATCACTATGAAAATGTTCAGTTCACCTCTGTATAATGCTAAGTGTACTTACATGTGTATAGTTAGGAAATTGAATAAGCTGGAAAAGAAAAAGAGGATGGTATAGTAGAGATACAAATCTATTATCACTCTTAGCACTACTTATCTATTTCATAGGTTTTTCTCAAGGCAATTTGTATTCATTAGATATAAAAACTCTGGAAATTGTTAGCTTTTTTTTTTTACCCTTTTAGGCATAAATCTGAGTAATTAAGTATTTTTATTTTCAGGAGACCTAGAATTAGAATAGGGTTTTCAGAAAACTGGCTTGAGAAAAAATGATGAGTGCAATTTTGTCATAAGTTATCTGAAAGTACATCTTCTGTCTGTGATAAGTGTGCAGATAATAGAAAGGTGAAGTGCAGATGCTGTGGAGTTTACCCCATTACAGGCAGAACCTTTCTTTGGATTTTGTCTACAAGACTGAGTGCCAAGTGGAAGGAATTATTTGTAGATAGAATCTGGAAGTGAAAAAAAGTAAATTGTGGAATGAACAAAAATCTTTGCAGATACTTCAGAGTGGATGGTTTGAGATGTGACCTCAGGGTATTCCCACATGCAACATGGCAATCTTAGTGCTGCAGTGATGTGAGG